CGGGTTCGAATCCCGTCCGTGGTCCGACTTTTGCCCATAACTCAGCATTCTTGTGATAGCTTTCGGATCGCGTACTGCGGCGTTAAACAGCAGTTATCAAACAATAACAGCTCCAGCTTCCATTTCACACACTCTCTCCTAGCGGAAATGGTTCTTCCACAGCACAGATCTACCCATTCCGCACTCAGAAAGGGTCGAAAGGGATCATCTTTCTAGACGATACAATTCTGAGGTCTGAAGTTTGAAGTGAGCATTGTGAAGCCAATCAGCTGGGGGAGCTTTCTGTGCTTTCGAAAGGGTCTTCTCAAGTCAACACGGACAGCAAAAGTCAATCATGATTTTCAGGAAGAGAAGCGGAACAAACCTTGCATCCGAGCGTCCTTGCGATGTCCAAGCACTTCTTATTCAGCTGAATAGCCTGGCATTCGCATTGTCCCGTGTAATGTGATCGGCTCTCGGACGCACTCTTCGCCATACTGGCCAACACCAGCACCTCACCCATACGGTCCTGTGACGCTCTCAGTACCCGATACGCTTCTTCGTATCGAGCCCATGACTTCTGAAACATTATGTGACTTATGTATACGTGAATGACCAGCCAAATGAGCTGCTACGGCTGGACATGTGTCTGCATGCCCATATAGTTCATAACTTTCTTGCCCTGAAAGACACCGCTCGCATCACCAAGTATTATAGTTTGGAAGGCTCTGATGAAAAGTAACCAGGGTTCAGAGATGGGGACTAACACAACATCAGACAGATCCCTGCAATAACATTTAATTTAACGAATAACAGGGGCTGCGAGTTGCACTCAATGCTTGTGTGCGATGAAGAGGTACCAAAGAGTGAAGGGATGTGGTCAAGAGTGATAGAATGATTTGTACTATGTGTTTGTGATGAAGAAAAATGATCTGTACCAAACGTTTGCGATGTAAATTTTTTTCATGATTGATAGCTCAAGTGATAGCATATTATAGGGTTATAGTGATAGGGACCTATGTGATCATAATGGTAAGGAAATCACATAAGATAGAGAGAAGCTTGGAAAAAAGTATGGGAGCAGGTTTTTTCAACTGCTTGTGTGCGAAAAACGGAAAAGGTGAGGGCGAAAGATAAATCACAGAAGATAGCAGTAAAGCACAATGAGTAGAAGTAAGATGTAAGCATATAGGTTGGAAGTATGCAGAATTCCCATGTTTTTGAATTCCCACAGTCGTGATGCTTACTGTTACATACATTCGCTCTCCTCTCTCTCGCTCTGTGTCTCCTCTGGGACGTGAAAAAGGAGGATTTGGGCCTGCGCGAGCGTACAGTTATTATTTTCGCTGCAGACGGTTGGGCGTATCAGGGAGGGGCTGGCTTTGGCGTGGCGTCAGCCAGCTCTCCATCAATTGCCCATCAAACGGGCTGGCGCCGCACCAAACCAAGTCCGCTGACACGCCCCAGTGTTTGCAGCGAAAACCAGTAATATGTTATCGAAAGGTGTAGCGGTTCTATTATACAAATCGTGCATAATCTTACAGATCAGGAACCAACATAAGTAGGAATTCAGCAAAGTAGAGATGGGTAAACGGATGAAAAGTATATGAGGAGCTGTGTTCGAGAGATATTGTTTGAACACATATCGCGACTAGCTTCATAATTTTTGAGATGGTTTCTAGTGAACGGAATGAACTAGTAATAACCAGGTTCGCTTACCGTCAGAGTCTCCTTCGCTTCAGATTCCCCTAGTTCCCTATAGATATCAGCTAGACTACACATGCATCTGGCATGCAATGCTCGATTACCCGTCTCGGATGCTAATTGTAAGGCTTCCTGAATAGAAAGACTATCAATTACTTCATAGTACATTCCAGAGCAGTCAGACTTACATCACAGGCTTCTTTCGCCTCTACAAGGGATCCTCGCATTCGCAGGGCCACTGATAGATGATAAAGTATCGTACACCTGAAAGGATCCATATCACTTCATGGCGCTACAATCGATTGCTAAACATCGTTGTTGCTTGGTACAACACTTGTCACGAAGAACGATGATTAATTGGAAAAGTTTTTATGAGTCTGTTGTTGGACGGATTGTGTTTTTCGTGGTGCACTCACGAGATCACTTTACAGCCAACTTAATGAATGGTTGATGAATAAAGAAGAGGAATTGTACCGATATTTCGTGTGCACGTCGTCGACGGTGACCGATTGAATTATAGCCATTGCGTTTCGAAGGAAAATCAGCGCTTTCGATAAATCTCTGAAAGGAAAAGAATCAGGAGTTAAGAAGAAAAATAACCGTTCTTCGGTTTGGCAGGGGTATTCTCGTTTCCGCTAATTCTTTTTGTAATTTGTGTTAACTAGCAGGTCTAATTTAGTTAAGTCCTGTGAACACTGGTAAGGCTGCGTTCATACTTTGCACCAGCGTCTACCAGCGTCCCGTTCTGAGCGCCCGGCAGCGTCAGCGACTAGGAAAGTGTAGATATCGATCTAGCGTCTGCCAGTGTCTGGCAGCGTTCACCAGCGACCGAGAGTAGAGAGTATGGGGAAGTGGGAGGGTAGCAAACAGCTGGACTTAGGCATCGCAGCCGTACCGCACAATGCAGGGCACAGCATTGGTTGGGGATTCCCTATGGGG